AGGTATTTTCTATAGCCACACTCAATGGACTAAGACACCCTAACAAATCAATAGGCCAGGGTGGTGGCTCAGCCGTGTAATCCTAGCACGCTGGGAGGGCGAGGGATCGTAACGGTCAGGACCGTTCAAAACCAGCCTGAGAATAGCGAGATGTTACTATAAATAGCAAGAAATATGGGCATCGTAAAAAATATATAGGGAATAGCTGTGGCATCGGTGGTGCATGCTGTAGTCCAGATACTCGGGGGGGGCAGAGGATGTTGAGCCCAGGAGTGTGTGAGATTGCTGTGGTAGCTGATGCACGCACTCACTTAGCTGTGACACGAAACTCTTGTCTCAAAAAAATCAAGCTGAGAAGTATATACCTAAAAATAAGACTGAACTACAACTCTGCATGAAAGTGAGGAACACTTAGGCATGGTGCTGGGAAAGCATTTTAGATAGAACTCCAGAGAGACACATGTGAACTCAGGAGAGTGATACCGAGTCGTTATGGAAAAGGGCGAACAGTGTAATGGGCGAGGTTACATCAACAAGATGATAATTGGGAAAGTTAGGAGAGATCGGAGTGTGACGTAGTCCTCGAGAGACGCGCCGGACCCGATAGGTTCAGGTGGGGACAAAAGGAACAGTATACACGTAGATGACGTGCTGTCGTGGGAGAATGTGCTTCGCGAGATAAGGATCGAGAGGTAATCTGGTACAAACACTGCTGGTGGGAATGTAACTAGCAACAGCGCGACTTATATGAAAACAGTATTGGAGGTTCTAAATGTATCAATGTCGTCTAGAGGATTGCGATAGGTATGGTCCAGACATGTAAGGAGGGACTTCAGACTGTCAGGCAGGGACGTGCTGTCATACGAGGGACTCTACTCTCGCGAAAATGCACATAGAGAGTCCACAAGGGAGGAAATCATTTACTCAAAGAACATCTGCACCCTATATTTATTGCAGCACTGTCACACATGGCGGGGAGATGTGCTAAGGGAGGAGGGGAATTTTTGAGAGCACAAATCACAGCTGGGCAGGGCCTGTGTAGAGTAGTGGGTCACTACATGATGTGGTCACGGGTCCGTGAGGGCTACGTGTTAACAGAGTGGGGACCTTCAAGTATATATTTCTTAGTGCTATCGCTCAAGGAGAGGGTAACTGAAGTCACCAAAGAAATCGGGTAACATTTAGACGATGTATGATGTAATTGCCCTGACCTACCAATATCATGATATGTATGGAACACTGTCGTACGGGCATAAATATCACAATATTATGTGAATTTAAAAAAGAAAAATCAGGTGGAAAAACTTATTGTCTCTTAATAGAGATGAAAAGATAAAATGAGATGTTCATACCAGAATGATGTGCAGCTAAATAATAAGATGAGAATAACTTGACTGGAAAATACATGATTTATTTATTTGAAAACAAGAAAAAAAAGATGTCACGCAGTAGAGGAGGAATTCAGTGTCTTGATGGAGTCAAGTTAGATATACTGCATTAAAATGTTCTAGGAGTAGATTAGAAGAATGATGTCTTATGGAGGAAGGAGAATAATTAATATTTATAGCGTTTCAACGATCATTGCTTTAAAAGAACTTTAACAATAGTTAACGTGGTATATTTTGGGGGATAGTAATGGATATGTGGGCATGCTGTCCTATTCTGATTCTCAGTAATGGATAGTGAGGTTTGAGCAGTGAGATATTTTGGTTGGTGGAAGCAGAGGTGAGTTGGCTGTCATGGCGGTGTGTTGTCTCTCCTAAACTTTCATATGGGTTGAAGCATTTCAGAAAAAATGGTGTTGCAGAAATACAGACTGGGGATGCAGATGTGGGTAGAGATTTGTTGGTCTGTAGTAATGCGCTCAGTGCGAAACAGCGGCAGGCAGTAGAAATTAAGTTCGAGAATCGTTGCATCCTCGGTGGCACTGGTGGATCTTTCTGGACCTGAGTCTTGGTTTGTGGATGATGATTGCTCTCCTTCCGTTATATGTCAAGTATGTTGCGCGCTGGGCTAGGGCATTTGATAACAATCATGCGATAATGGTCGTCTCTCGTATTGCGCTGCGTTTAGTGACTCCACAACACAGAAGCCACTGGTTTATGTCGTTCTGCGTGAGTTAGCAGATGTGCTCCTTCCGTGCTGGCTGATGGCAGATTTTTCAAAGTTGTTTTGTCGATGGAAGAGTGGTCGCCATGTGGAATTCACCCTTTTTCGGGGCTGAGTGGCCGCTGATTCCTCCATTGCTGAGGTGGGGGGTGTCAGGTCCATGTGGTCCTGAAGGAGTCACGAGAGGTTTATGGGTTTTTTGACATAGATTTGGGGTGCTCAGGATTACTTAGCCGAACAACAGTCGAGTGCAAGTTATAGTGGACTTTGTACAGAAGTGAGGTGAAACAGTATGGGCTTTATCTGACGTTGCCATGTGAGGTGCGCGACGGGAAAGGTGAGCTGCAGTGTACTATACCATCGTGGAAAAAAAAAGCGACCATTCCTCGTATCAGAACCAAATAGTCTCTTTCTCTTC